GGGTCCTCATGTGACGAAGCCCTCCAAGGCACCAAGAAAAAGACAGCCCGGGGAAAACAGACACGGAGGACGGCACGTCACCTAAGACACCCAGAGTGTTCACGTTCACTGATCACCAGGAAATGCCAATTAAAACGGCCGTGCGATACCGCTAGACACCGACAGAATGGATAAGCCCAGATGTGACACCGCCGGGTGTGAAAAGGCCCCTCGCTGCTGGGCCAAGTGTAAATTGGCGTGCATGGAACAGCCGCGCGGGCTGCCAGATCCAGCACACGCCATCTGTAGGGCCTGGGGGTCCCACCCATGCAGGCACAGGTGCGTACCCCCGGAGACGGCCCGCAGGGCTAGCTCAGCAGGGGCCCTGACTGGGGAGACAGCTCACACACCCCTCCACAGCAGGGCGAGTGGACCCAGAGCCGTCCATCCACACCCTGGGGCCCTGCTTGTGCGCTGGCCGTGACTCTGAGGACGCAGAGGGGATGGCTGCAACTACATGAAGTTCAAGTTCAAGTTCAGGCAGCATTCATGGGCAATGCTAATAGGCAGCAGAGTGGGGGTGGAGCGCGACTCCCAGGAGTAGGTGTGTGTGTGGGGGACTCCCCAGGAGTAGGGGTGTGTGTGAGACTCCCCAGGAGTAGGGGTGTGTGTGTGGGACTCCCCTTGGTAGGGGTGTGTATGTGACTCCCCAGGAGTAGGGGTGTGTATGTGAGACTCTCCTTGGTAGGGGTGTGTATGTGACTCCCCAGGAGTAGGGGTGTGTATGTGAGACTCTCCTTGGTAGGGGTGTGTATGTGACTCCCCAGGAGTAGGGGTGTGTATGTGAGACTCTCCTTGGTGGGGGTGTGTATGTGAGACTCCCCAGGAGTAGGGGTGTGTGTGTGACTTCCCAGGAGTAGGGGTGTGTGTATGTGGATTACACAAGTGATTTCTCTCTTTGAGATGCTTTTTGGCACTTTGTTAGACGTCAATAGAAAGCATTTTACTGAGAGAGCGCCCCCTGGAGTTGGCCCTGCGGCACAGCGAGCTAAGCCGCTGCCCGGGATGCAGGCCTCTCACATCAGAGTGCTGGTTCGAGTCCCGGCCGCTCTGCCTGAAGCAGGCAGATCTCTCTGGTGGGAGACCCAGATGGAGCTCCAGGCTCCTGGCTTTGGCCTGGCCCAGCCCCCAGCCGTTACTGCCATGTAGGGAATGAACCAGCAGGTGGAAGATCTCTCTCGATGTCTCTCTCTTTTTTCCCCCTGCCATTCAAATAAATAATTTTTTAAAGAAGATACACTTGTGATAGGAACCGTGCGGCCTCCAGTGAGTCACTGGGCTTCTCTGCACCTGCATTTCTTTCCCTATAAATTGGAGCAGTAACACAGCTTCCTCCAGGTCTCCCATGTGGGTAGCAGGGGCCCAGGGCTTGGGCCATCCTTTGTTGCTTTCCCAGGTGCATCAGCAGGGAGCCGCATCGGAAGTGGAGCAGCGGGGACTTGAACTGGCGCCCATAAGGGAAGCCGGCACTGCAGGCGGTGGCTTTACCCGCTGCGCCACAGCACTGGCTCCTAAAGAGCATTTGACCACCGATTCCTCATGTTCCTTGCCGTTTCAACGCTGGCCGATTCTGACCGGTTTCCTCGCTTGGTTCTGCATTGATGGCGATTTTTCCCTTAACCGGCCTGATGCCTTGAATGGCTTTCAGACTCAATTCGCAGCCCAGTGTGCTGGGGTGTTGCTATGGGAAAGTGCATGCAATTTGCCAAAACCAAATTAGCGCGAATACACAGGGGCTTTGTCAAGCAGCGAGCAGTTGATAGAAATCTAAACTCTTTTATTCTTCTCGTTCCATGTGGACCCCAAGTCAGTGATCATTAAACTTGGACAGGCACAGGCCCAAACCGAGCACATCCAATTAGCACAATTTTTAAGGTCAGGCCATCTACAAATTGCTTATTCAACCAGGGGATGACACAAAGGCTTTCCTGCTAATTGAGTCCAAGTTTGCTTTATTTTCTACCCAGCGTGGAGTGTTTGCACAGGGGCCTGTGTTGTGGCACAGAGGGGTGAGCCACTGCTCCCGATGCCACCATTACATATCGGAGTGCCCATTCGAGTCTCAGCTGCTCCACTTCCCATTTAGCCCTCTGCTAACGCGCCTAGACAGGTGGCAGAAGATGGCCCAAGTGCTTGAGCCCCTGCACACACACAGGAGACCTGGATGGAGTTCCAGGCTCCTGGCTTCCTCTTGGCCCAGGCCTGGTTGTTGTGACTATCTGGGGAGTAAACCAGAGGGTGGAAGACCTCTCTCTGTGTCACTCTGCCTTTTGAATAAATAAAGAAAGAAATCTCAAAACAAAAATCCATTTCAAGGCTTATTCAGAATATGGTTGTTACGTTGGACTAACTGCTAATAGTGCAAGACATTTTATAATTCATTCTCTTCCGTGAGCCTTCACTTTCAGCATAATGGCATTCTCCATCGAGTCCTAAGACAGCGATCTTTCATTGGACATAGCCGCCTGTGTGGGGGGCTGCCTTTCAAATAAATCGATTCATCGACACGTCGCCACTCGGATGGCCCTGCTTGTGCCGTCCACAGTTGTCCTGCAGAATTCTTGCCAGCATCAGTGAGAAAGAGAAAGACAAAGAGAAGAGTGCTCCCATCCGCTGGTTCAGTCCTCCAATCGCGGGGGCCAGGCCAGGCCAGAGCTAGGAGGCAGCTGGGAACTCAACGTGGACCTCCGTGTGGGTGGCAGGGACCCGAGTACCTGAGCCCTGGCTGTTGCCTCCCAGGGTCTACACGAGCTGGAAGCTGAAGTCAGGAGCGAGAGCCAGGAACCCAGCCAGGCACTGCGATCTGGGATGCAGGCGCCCTGACCAGCGCCCACCCCTCTTTGTTAAATCTCTACGCTGGAGGTTCAGAAGGTCCGGTCGGCCAGACGAGGGGCCTTTCTTATGTCCTGGTACCAGGGCTCGGCTGCCCACAGAGCATGGAAGGACAAGGCCCCCGGGTCCCTGGCTCCGTGGCCAGCCGGGGACCTTTCTCTGCCAGTGGTGCCTCCTGCAGTGTAGACAGTGGTGGAGCGTCCACAGAGCTTGGATGTTAACGGATCCGTGGTGAGCCGGAAGGAAGAAGTCGCTTTCTCCTTCCATCTGCAAAATGCCGTGCTCGGGACACAAGATCTGCCCGCTGCCCCCTCCCAAGGAGGTCCCGCCTTTGTTCCTCTACCTCCGTGGACTTTCTGCGGTCTTCCCAGGAGGCCTGTGCGTGTGCCTGTGTGGGAGCGCTTCTTTCCTATCACCTTTGCACAGACAGGCTTCTGATCTGCTCAAGGCCACGTCTGGGCATCTGTTTTCTGTCGCACAAAGAGTGATGGCCACGGATCCATCGCTCCGAGTGCAGAGGCTGCTGCTGTCACGTTGCATTTTCTGACTGCTTTCCAGGTCCCTCGTGCGCAGTTAGAGATGTGTGTGCGCACACACGCCCACCATGCACACCATGCACACACAGGCACACACGTGCATGCACACAGAGACACACACATGCACACTGTGCATACACACATGTGCATGCACACACAGGCACACACGCACACCATGTACACACACAGAGGCACCCACACACTGTGCATACACACATGTGCATGCACACACACACACTATGCACACACACAGAGGCACACACATGCACACACACAGAGGCACACACACACTGTGCATACACACATGTGCATACACACAGAGAGGTACACACATGCACATCATGCACACAGAGGCATCCACACACCATGCACACACACACACCCACCAGCCGCCTTCCTGTGTAGCACCCACGCCCGCTGGATGACAAGCGCCCTGCCTCAGGCAGAGGTGGCACGACGCCTGAAGCTCACAGCGTCCCCTTCCCTGGGGACCATCCTAGGGGATCTCCGGGAAAGCCCCCAACCGTAGGGCAGGGAAGGAAAGGACGGGGCCTTCTCCCCACCCCAGGCCCGTGACCAGAGGGCAGGACAGGGTGGGACCAACGCCACTGAGCTGGGCCTGTTCCCGCGCAGCCACCAGCTGGCCTCCTGGACCATTTGGAGGAGCTGAGCCCACCTGTGCCCGTGCCCTGGGGCGAGGTCTGCAGGTAGAACGCGGCGGCCGTCCTGCCTGGAGACGACACTCCTGAGCCGCCCTCTGGCGTGGGTGGGGCGGGGTGCACCAGGGCTCAGGCTGTGGCCCTCAGGAGGGCTGGTCTGGGCAGGGAACCAGGGCTGAGGCCCAGGGAAGGTCACAGCCGGTGCCACCACCACCTCTGCAGGGAGGCTGGGCTTCTGGACCTGGGCGCCTTCCCCACCAGGGCTGGGTCAGGCAGGAAGCCCCCCACCCCCAGAGAAGGAGGAGGTGGGGGGGCAGGAAGGGTGGGGTCCGTATCTGCTCCCACCCCAGGGACCTCTGGGCTTCTCTCTTGACCCCCCTCTCTCCTCTTCCCCACCTAAAAGAGCTCAATTTCCAGGGCTATTAAATCTGGCAGCTCTCAACCCTGATTGCTGGTACGCGGTGTGCCGGGCTCAGCCCCCGCACAGCTGTCCCACCTCGGTCACTGAGCAGCCTCGCCCACCTCGCTGCACAAGAGGGGCCCTCCTGTTCTCCCCACCGTTCCTGCCCCACAGCAGGTGTTGCTACATGTGTGTGCGGTCCCCAGCAGGCCTGCCCCACAAACGCACTCACACACACCCACACACAGCCACACCCCGCCGAGGGGGGACGGTGGACACACCCCCAGGAGAGCTCCCCGCGGCTGGGGTCTACCGTGACCCCGCCCCCACTCCCCACCCCACATCCACTCTACCCAAGTGCAGGCCCTGGGTGCAAACATCACAGGCCGGCCGGCCGGAGAAACCGGGCATCACACAAAGGAACCCCCAAAGAGCGCCTCCCCCCACAGCGCTCTCTTTCCTCCCACAGACGACCTCCCTCTGTCCCCGTGCCAAAAAAAAAAAAAAAAAAAAAAAAAAAAAGCAGGCGCCGAGTCGGGTTCGCATCGATGCGTTTATTGACAGGTTACAGACAGACGTGGTTACAAAAAGGCGCGGGCTCCGGGGGCTACTGCGCCCCGGGCCGCACTTGTGCTGCGCTTCGCTGGGAGGGCTGGTCTCGCCCCCGCCCCGCCCCTCCCACCCCCTTCCCCACCCCTACGCTTCCCTCCCAGAACCAAAACTGGACCCCCGCCCCGCCCCCCGCCCGTCCCTACCCCCGCGGCCACACCCTACGGGACACAGACGTCTCCCCCTACTGAGTACGCTCGTCTAGGACTACGCGGCTGGCCCCGCGGCCTCTCCCTCCGCAGACCCCGGCGCGCGGTGGCGCGCAGGCTTTGTGCCAGACCCGGCGCACAGCCCCGCGAGGGGCGCGCCCGGGACGCGCCTCCCTCCCCAGGCCCTTCGCGGGCTCCGGCTTCCATCCCGGAGCGGAGCCGCGTTGTCCGGGCAGCGGCTCTCCGGAAATCCCGACGCGCAGAGGCCGGGATCCGCCCGGGGCCCAGCCGGCACCCTCGGCGTCCCGGGAGCATGGGCGCTTTTTAAGTTAGGAGAGGGGTGAGAGGACACGCATCGATGCCCCCCCCGCCCCGACCCCGACATACAGACACACACACGATGTCCCCAGAGGCTGGGAGGGGGGTGTTAGCACCAGGTCTTTAAAAACAACGAAAACAGGGACATCGGAGAGGGGGTTCGGACAGCGCCCCAGGCCCCGGGGTCGGCTCCAGCCAGACGGAAAGGGAGCTGGTACCGGAGCACGTGGACCCCTGCTGGGGGTTGGGCTTCGGAAAGAAACGCGAGGGTTTGCCACCAAACCCCAAGCAAGGACCCTGCAGCGCGCCCGCAGCGGCCCCCACGCACGCCTTCTGGTCCGGGTGGGCATGGCGGGGCGGGGGTTCGGGGTCAACACGAAGGGAAACGGAGCGTAGCCTCGGCCGCGCTTGGCCGGGGAGCTGGGCTCAGCTCGCCAAGGGTAGTGCGGAGGTTATGGCCCAGCCCCTCCTGGAAACTCCTTGTGGTCAGGCCCAGGAGGGACGGGGGGGGGGGGGGCGGGTAGGGGGCAAGGGCAGGGGGGCAGGGGAGGCGTGAGACCCGCAGGCCCCGGGCTCTGCTCCGGGCAGGGCTGGGGTCGGCGTGGGGGTGGGCGGGCAGGGGGCTCAGCCCGCCGTCTGCCGGTAGTTGCCATTGATCTCCGGCGTGATGGTGACAGCCTCGGCGCCCAGCGGCAGCCGATCGCTGTACTCAGAGCCAGCCTCGAACTCCTCCTGGTTGGCTTTGGACTGCGACTCCGCCAGCGAGCAGGCCGCCAGGCTCTCCTCCCGCCGCAGGCCCCCACCGGGGTCCCCTTGCTCCGCCTCCTCCTCCTCCTCCTCCGGCTCCTCGCCCGGCGCCGCCTCCGGCTCCTCGCCGCCCGCCTCGCCGCCCGGCGCGTAGCTTTTCTCGGACTCCAGGTAGGAGGCGCGCGGGTCGAAGTCGGCGGCGATGCGCTTCTCCATGGGGTCGGGGGCCTGCGGCCGCAGGATCAGGCGGTAGGGCTTGCCAGGGTGTTTGGCCAGCAAATGACAGCAGGCGGCGCCCAGCAGGGGCACGGTGGCCAGCACCAGCAGGAACACGCTCACCGCCACGATGACCAGCAGCGACGGCAGCTCCTTCTTGGTGGCGAACACCACTTGCACGTGGCAGGCCTCGCCCGCCAGCGCCAGGCACACGGAGTAGTTGGTGCCGGGCCGCAGGCCGCGGAACCAGTAGGCATTGACGCCCTCCTCCACGCGCGACCACTGCACCGCCGCGCCGCCGCCCGCCGGGCACAGGTAGAGCAGGCGCGGGGGCCGCCGCGCGCCGCCGGCCCCTCGGGGCCCTGAGCCCCAGCGCGCCGCCAGCGGCGTCAGCTGCACGCGCGCCTCGCGCTCTGCCACATCCAGCGCGATGACGCCCAGCTCAAAGGCGTGCGGCTTGAGCTCCGCGCTCTGGTTGAACGCGTGGTTGGACACGTACTGGGCGGGGTCCCCGTGGCCGCAGTGCTGCTTCTCGGACGGCTCTTGGGGAGTCTGGTCTTCCGCCTCTCCCTCGCCAGCCTCCACCTCCTCCTCGTCCTCCCCCGCCGCCGCCGGCTCCACCTCCCCGAGGACGGCGACCCGCGCCGGGCCGCCGCCTTTGGCTTTGCTTTCGGGCTTGGAAGGCAGGACGCTGTTGCCCCGGCCCTTGGCAGCGGACTTGCGCTCAGAGGTCGGGGTCTGCCCATCCGCTTCTCCCCCAGCACCAGGAGCGTGCTTTGGGGGCCCGGCCGCGGCCACCGCCACCCGCAAGGAAGTCGAATTGGTGCCCAACTCGTTGTGCGCACGGCAGGTGTAGACCCCCGCCTCCTTGGCACTCAGCACGGGCACCAAGAGGGAGCCGTTTGCGAGGGCCAAGAAGCGCGGGGTGGCCGGGGGCGCGGGCCAAGCCGGGGGCGGAGGCGGGGTCGGGGCCTCGGTCGGCGTGGGCTCGTCCCCGTCTCCTCCCCCCTCCCCATTCTCCGCCCCGTCTCCGTGGTCCTCCCCGCCCAGGAGCGGCGGTTCCAAGACCACAGTGCCCCCCGGGATCTGCAGTTGCCACTGCAGGCGGGGCGCGGGGTGTCCTTCGGCAGCGCAGTGCACCCAGAAGGGCAGGCCGGCGCGCAGAGGGGTGCCAGGCGCCTCGGGCGGCGGCTCCGCGCTCAGAAGCACGCTGGGCGGCGCGCAGGGCAGGGCCGGCAGGCGGTGCACCGGCACCCCGCGCAGCGCCGGGGGCGAGGCGCACGCGATGGAGTCGGGCTCCGGCAAGGAGACCCGGGTGCTAGCGGCCCAGGCCTGCAGCCACACCAGGCCGCAGCCGCAGTGGAAGGGGTTGTGGTAGAGCTGCAGGTGCGACAGCGCGCTGAGCGCGTCGAAGGTGCCGGGCTGCAGCGTGCGCAGCCGGTTGTTGTTGATGCGTAGGGAGCGCAGGTCCGGCAGCGCGCCGAGCGCGTCGCGGGGCAGCGCGCCCAGGCTGTTGTGGTTCATCTTGAGCAGCTGCAGCGCGCTCAGGTTGCGCAGGTCGCTCCACGGGAAGCTGGAGATGAGGTTGTGGCTGAGGTCGAGGTTCTTGAGCTGGCTCAGCACCGCCAGTGAGCCAGGCTCCACCGTGCGCACCTCATTGTGCGCCAGCCACAGCGACGTGACCTGCGTGACGTTGGCAAAGGCCCCGCGCCGGAGCACGGTGATCTTGTTGGCCGACAGGCTGAGCGTGGTCACGTTCGCCGGCAGCCCTTCGGGAACCTCGCGCAGCTCCTTGTACGCGCAGTCGGCGAACTGGTGAGCGTACTTGTCCACGCAGGCGCAGGGCTCCGGGCACGCCGCGGCCACTCTTAACAACGCCCAGGACAACCACAGGGCTCGAAGGGGCGCCATGGCGGCTCCTGCCGACGGGGACAAGAGAGGAGAAGGTGACGCCAAGCTCCAGCCTTCCTCCCCTCCCACGCTCTGGCTCTCCAGATCCCAGCAGGGCTTGCCCCAGAGACTCTCGTGGGCATGAGTGGAGCTAAAACAAGGCTGAGGACCCAGCGGACGCTTCTCGTTGGGGTCCTTTCTTTTCCAACTCTTTCCCAGCCCCCAACCTACCCCTCAATAGGCTGGGCACTGTCCCCTCTTTGTGTTTCTAAGTATTCCTCCAACACGGTAAAATGGATGCACAGAAAGGAAATTTTTGTCCGTGGCTCGCTGCCCTCCCCATTCACCCTTTGTCCTTCTCACACCACGGGCACACGCGCCCACACAGGCAGACACAGCCTTCAGCTCTGGGGAGGCTCACAAGGCATCTCACCCCCCCCCCCCCACAGGCACCCAGACAAGGACACTGCACCGGGCGTCTGCACTGTGGTGCTCCACCAGGGTGCAAAGCGCTTTCCCTTTCATTGTGAGAACTGACAGGTGCAAGTCTTCACACCCACCGACCCCCACATGGGGACACAGGCGCACACTCACACCTCCCCAGAGACTGAAACCGGAGCAGGTGAGCAATGCTGAGTGCCTGCCTGGCTGGAGGTGGGATCTGAGCAAGCAGACCCGCCGGCCTCTTTGCAAGTCGCTGACTTGGCATGCAGCTCCCGCAGGGAGAACCCAGGCGCCTGGCCCGCGTTCCCTCTGGAGAGGTACGCCGCGAGGAGAGTGACTGCAGAGCCGTCCCTGGGAGAGGGTGGCTGGCACTACTCAGAGAAGCTGGGAGAATCTGCGCCTTTCTTCCCAGCTCCACACTCCTGGGGATCCCGGTAAAACCACATCTCCAGCCGCACAACCGCACTCAGACCCCCGCCCCCACCCAGGGTGCCTGCAGGGGTTTTGCAGAGCTCCTGCCTCACCCTGCCTTTGGGACCCCCCCCCCCCCGCCTCAACTCCTAGGGAAGGGTCCCTCACCCACCCGCTCCTGGTTTCTCCCAGACACAGCCCCCCTCCCCCCCATTGGACCAACGCCCACCTGGGCGGTGGCTGTGGGCCGGTTCTCCGCTTACCCGCACCCGCCGACTCCAGCGCGCTGCCCTCGGGCGGGAACCCTTTCTCCAGAAGCGCTGTCGCCTAGCAGGGGCACAGCCCGAAGGAGCTTCCAGCATCTGTTGCTGCGGCTGTCGGGAAAACGGGGGAGGGGCAGAGGACGGGCCAGGTAAGTTTGGGGACTCCCCAGCTCCGAAGTCACACTTCAGATTGTGTTCCCTGCGCGTCTCGCTGGTTGCAGGTTGGAGAGAACCCTTGCGCGCTCCCGGGCTCGGCGGGGACGCGCATGCCTCTCCCACCTCCGGCAACGTCTACGTTTTGAAAGCCGTAGAGACCCTCCCCCGGGCCGAGCCGCCCCCAAGCCCCCGCAATCCGCCCCCCGCTGACATTGTCACTCCAGCACCACGATCAGGCACATCGGCGCGCGCACGACCCTCGCACCTCCACACAGTCCGGGTCCGAATCGTTGTCTCCCAGCAGGCTGTGTTCGCAGGGACCCCTGCACCCGGGCCCCTCTCCCTCGCACCCGCCTCCACGCGCGCTCACCCTCAACGCGCTCATCTGCCAGCGCCCGCAAGCTTTTACGCCCCGCGACACGTGAGACAAACCATTTTGAGGAATTGGAGGGAGAGGGGGGAGGAAAGGCGCGTGGCTGCGGGAGGGGGGCGTGTCTGCGCCTCAAAACACTTTCTGCAAACGCAGACGGTGGCGCACGGAGACCTGGAGCGGGACCGGCCCGGCGCGCGCGGGCCCTTCCCTCCCGCACCGCCCTGCCGGCCGCCTCCTCCCCGAAGCCACGTTCAACACGATGCATAATTGATAGTGTTAGCAGAGCGCCTCGCCCTCCCTGCCGTTTTTTTTCTTTTTGCCTGGATCTGGGCAGATCCGAGCCCCGATCTCCCCCCTCCCCACCCCCCGCCAGGCTAACCCGGCATCCAGAACGCGAGGCCCTGCAGAGCGCGCGGGGAAGAGAAGTCCTCTCCCTAAGTCTGCCACCGCCGCCCCCCCCTCCCCGCCCAGCCCCTGAAGCCGGGACTCCTTACGTCTGGTCTTTGTGGCTAAGCCAACGCCAGAAGCCCACCGCCCAATGCGCGGTCCCGTGCGCACTGCTGGGCGGGGCCCGGGGCCAGCGTGCGCCCCGGGGAAGCCAGTCTGGCGCCCGCAAGCGCCTCCTGACCTTCGGGTTTTTCCAGCCGCGGGCGGGTGGGGCCCCGAGGCTGCTGCGGGGGGCGCGAGGCTGCCTGCACGACGTCTGCCCGTCCCGAGCGTGAGCTGCGGCTCAGGGTCCGAGCTCTGCGCCCGCTCGGAGCCACGCTGGGCCGCCCCCGCCGGCCGTCTCACACCCTCACACAACAGCCGGCCTGGGCAGACGCGCCGTTCCCGACTCTGGCTCCTTAGCTCTGGCGAAGCCTCGGCGTTTCTTTTAGCAACGAGGAGGCGGAGGCGCTGGGATGTCGAGGCATTTGGCGAAAACCCGGCTTCCGCCCCCACCCCACCCCACCCCACCCCCAGGGCTGCCTACTGCGGCTCTGGAGCCAGCTGTCGGCCACAACCGAAAAAAGGGGTTCGGGCTCCGGGCGAGGCGCAGAGCCCGCCCCGCTACCGAGCTCGGGGTGCGCTTGGCCCCCCGGCCCTGACCCGGGGCAGTGAGGGTCTCTCGCGGCGCGTGGACAGCGCGCGCGTTAGGGGCCTCTGCCGAGATCAATACCCCGATTTGAGTGTTGAGCATTTTAATGAGCTAGGCAAGGGGTGGGGGAGGGAAGCAGGAGAGGCGCGCAGCATCCAAAGAGACCACCCGGCCGGGGGTACCCGCCGAGGCTCTGTAAATTAAATATGAACAGGCTGGCGCTGGCGCTCGCGCCCCCTCCTGCTTCGGTCGTCGCCGCGGGCGGCCCAGCGGGCTGGGACCGGCGCAGCTCCTCAGTCCCGACTTCCGAACCCAGAACTTAACACCTGCTCGCCCTCCAGGCTCCCCACAGCTGACAGGGAGGGGGGGACGCGCCAGGGCGCCTTTGGGGGAAGGTGGTTGGAGCAGGTCCCCGGGGTGAGGACACTGTGACCCGTTGCTGGCCGAAGCTGCGGTTGGACAGTCTGGAGTGCGTCCCTGGCGGGGGAGTGAGTCCAGAACTTGGGGTCTGGGAGGTTTGGGGGGAGGTGGCGTGGGCGACGGGACTGGCACCGACCTCTTTTGTTTGTGGAGCAAGAGGGAGATTCTGGGAGCACTGCGCGGGGCTAGGGTGGGGGAGGCAGGGGTCCAGCAGCAGGGACAGAATTGGACCCCGCACGGCGGGTCCCGGAGACTTTAGGGGCTGGGGGAGGGGCGCCGAGGCCTCTCGCTCCCCAGCCCCCCACCTCAATTTTTCATCTCTTTTCTGATTATTTTTTCGTCCTGCGGGGAGATCGGGAGAGTGACTTGGAAGGGGTTAGAGACCAGAAGGCAGGTCCCGGGTGGATGGAAGGGAGAGGGGCCCACTGGCCCTGGGCGCACAGCCTCCCCGCAGCGCAGGGACCTCCCCTGCCAGCGAATCAGAAACCACTCAGGGTGCGCGGGCCAGCAAAGATCTCTCTTCCTGCTCCCTTGTCGGGGCTGCCTGGGCGGGATGGGGCTCGGCCAGAGACAGGGCTCCGGGAACCTGGGGAGGACGGCAGAGGCGCAGGGGCCACAAGAGCGCGCGCCCAGGTCCTTCTGCCGGTCCCCCGCGGCTTCCGCCTTTGTTCCCCCGAGCCTGCCCTGGGGGAAAGACACCCCTTACCCCTGCCTTCAATCCTGGGGAGCCCAGGGCCCGCGCGGACGCGGGGGCGGGTAGGGGGCAGGGAGGGGAGCTGGCACTCTGGGTTCGGTTTCGGAGCTTGGAGAGCACACCGCGCGGGGCTGGCGCCTGGAGGTCCCCACCGCGCCCGCGTCCTCCATCATTAAAGCAGGCACCTGGTCAGGTGTGTGGGAGAGGGGAGGGACTCCAGGTTCCCAGCGAGCGCCGAATCTCTCCAGTCCGGCTAAGGCTTTCTACTAGGCTGGGGTCCTGCCCCTCTTACCCCTCAGCAGGCTCAGCCACGAGAGCTGGTGCCTCCGGCCGCTTTTATTTTATTATTTTTTTCCTTTAATGCCCTTACCTCTAACTCGCACCTTGCGGAAGCGAGGGTCTCCAGGAGACCTAGGGCTACCGCCCGCAGGATCCGGGGACTTTCGCACCCGGCTCTGCGGCGCGGGTCTCGGGTACAGGCCCGGTCCGCGCGCGCCCCCTGCTGGGACCGCGTGCGGGACGCCGAGGCGGGGCAGTGGGGCGCTGAGCGCGGCCGCCGGGTTCCCGTGGGGCAGGCCGAGCCGCGGCCCTGGAGTCTGCAACCTCGCACCCCATAGACTTCTCGGCGCCCCCTGAACTCTCCCTGAGCCCTAGTCCTTTGCAGGATTCAGTGAGTTTAGTTTTAGTGGGAAGGAAGCTTCTGTATACCTGTCCAGGTGGCAGGTGCGCCTGCCCTTCTAAACCTCACAGCTTCGTCAGGGGCCTATACAATATCCCAAATCTGATAAAGAAAATGTGTTGGCAGGCCGGCATCATGGCAGCTTGGGACGCCTGCACCACCTGTCGTCTGCTTCCAATGCAGCTTCCTGAGTCCTGGAGGCAGAGGAGGTGGTCCTCACCCCCTCACCTGGGAGGTGAGCTCCCAGCTGCTGCCTGGCCCAGCCCTGGCTGTTGTGGGCATTTGGGGAGTGACCCTGCAGATGGAGGATCTCTCTGTGTCCCATCTCTCTCTCTCTCTCTCTCTCTCTCTCTCTCTGCCTCTCCTTCTCTCTATCACTCTGCCTTTCAAATAAATCAGTACATCTTTAGAAGCAGTGACACGGAGCTGGCACTGTGGCATAGTGGGTAAAGCCGCTGCCTGCAGTGCCAGCATCCCACATGGGCACCGGTTCAAGTCCTGGCTTGCCCACTTCTGATCCAGCTCTCTGCTGTGGCCTGGAAAAGCAGTAGAAGATGGCCCAAGTGCTTGGGCCCCTGCACCCACGTGGGAGACCCGGAGGAAGCTCCTAGCTCCTGGCTTTGGATTGGCACAGCTCTGGCCATTGCAGCCAACTGGAGAGCGAACCAGAGGATGGAAGACCTCTCTCTCTCTCTCTGCCTCTCTCTCTGCCTCTCCTTCTCTTTGCCTCTCCTTCTCTCTGTGTAACTCTTACTTTCAAATAAATAAAAAATCTTTTAAAAAATAAAATAAAAGCAGTGAGCGATTGGACACAAAGCACTGGGCCTGGTGCCCAGTAAAAAGCTGTTCTCCCGGCAATAACTGAGTAGGATTGTCTGTTCGCATGGCCTTACCGAGTGTGGGGCAGCTCTGAGGGCCAGGTCCGCCTGAGGCCTGCCTCTGGGGGGAGGCCCTCGGCCCCGTCCCACGCCCTCCCAGAGCCCCCACCTCCAGTGGCAGCAGTCAGATCCCTGTCGTTACGACTTGGAAAGGCGTCCGGTTCAGATCCTAGTGCTGCTGGCTGGCAGCTGCAGGCTTGGGGGAAGGTTTTTAATTAAAACTGCATTCCGTTTAAGTATTTATTGGGCTCCGTGACTTTAATTATTTTCTAGGGAAAAACAAAAAACCCACACTTGCCTATGGGAAGACGGTTGGTTGCAGCCACCTGTGGCGGCGAGCTGATGGCAACAGCGGAGGGTTTCCTGAATGGCCCGGATGGAGTCGGCGTCATTAATAATTAATAATTAATATTAATAATCCGGGACTCAGCCCACCACCTTCCTTCCAGCGCCTGCACAGAATCAGCTTCGCGCACTGGCACATCCGTTTGCGGCCATCGGAGTTCACGCCGGCTCCCCCAGCAGAGGCTCCTCTCCTGGGGCTGCCCTGCTCTGTGCTTGTCCTGCTGCAGAAGGGGACGCCTGCCTGGAGGAGGCGCCATGCCCGGTCAGCTGGCCACCCCAGCTAGGGCTGGACCTGAGGCTGCCAGCCCTGCCCGCTCCATGGTCAGCAGAGCCAGGGCCTCTGTGCTTCCTGTCTTTCTCCAGCGCTGCCCTTAAGAAGCAGGCGGCCTTAGGCTGTGCCCTTGGTGGTGCCGTGGGAAGGCCTGGGCCGCAGCGGGGTCAGCACGCTTGCTGTTGACAGACGTGTGGGATGGGCAGACTGGATTCTGTCTCCTGCAGCCGCATTCCCTTCACATCTCTGTTGGCACACTGGCTTGGGCCCCCACCTCTGAGCCCATCACTGGCCAAAGGGATGCAATGGACAGACTTGGAGCAAGCGTGCGTCCCCAGCCTCCCCACCAGTGAGAGGGGCAGGACGAGTATGTGTCCACGGACACGAGTGACTGCAGTTACAGAGAACCACGTAAGATGCTTCCTTAAAAAAATTTTGTTTATTTAATTAAAGGGCAGAGTGACAAAGAAAAGAGAGAGAGAGGAAGAGACAGAGAAAGAGGGATCTTCCAGGCACTGGTTCACTCCCCACATGGCCTCAGTGGCCCGGCCGGGCCAGGAATTCCATCCCGGTCTCCCACATGGGTGACAGGACTCCGAGCACTTGGGCATCTTCCACTGCTGCTTTCCCAGATGCATTAGCAGGGAGCTGATGGAAGTGGAGCAACTGGGACTTGCACCGGCACTCCCACATGGGACGCTGGCGTCACAGGCCGGGGCTTAACCCCCTGCGCCAACGTGCTGGCTCCGGGCGCTTCCTGCTCTGGTGCCCCTGAGCCGTGTCCAGGCTGGGCTGGGCTGGGCTGGGCTGGTGCGAGCAGGTTCAGGGCCTCTCCTCTCTCTCTCTCTCTCTCTCTCTCTCTCTCTCTCTCTATCAGAGGACGCTCTGCTTTCTCAGAATTCTTGAAAGGATACAAATCTGTTCTTGGAAATGTCGGTGCTGGCTCCGCCGCTATTTTG